GAGGTGGGCGGATTGTTTGAGCTCAGGAGTTCGAGACCAGCCTGAGCAAGAGCAAGACCCCATCTCTACCAAAAATAGAAAGAAATTAATTTGACAGCTAAAAATATATAGAAAAAAATTAGCCAGGCATGGTGGCGTGTGCCTGTAGTCCCAGCTACTCGGGAGGCTGAGGCAGGAGGATCGCTGGAGCCCAGGAGTTGGAGGTTGCTGTGAGCAAGGCTGACGCCACGGCACTCTAGCCCGGGCGACAGAGTGACTCTGTCTCAAAAAAAAAAAAAAAAAGAATGAACTAGGAGACGCTTTCCCACAGGACTCGGGAAACTCGCGCGAGACGGCTCCCGCGGAGGAGGCGCGGAACGTTCACTTCCTGTTTATTGTTTATACTTTTTGAGCGTCTCTCCTCGTGCCTGTTCTCGTGGTGATTCTTCCTTCTGAAACGCCCTCCCCGCCTCCCCATCTCCGCAAATCTGCTGGTGGCAGCGTAGCATCCTCCGAGGCCCGGCTGAAATGCTCCAGGAAGTCCTCCCGGATTCGCCCTCGCTGCTGCCCGAGGCCCGCAGCCCGCCCTGCCCACGGGGCGCGCTGACGCCCCTGCGCCTGCCGTGTCCTGCGGGCCGGGCACAGCGACTGCCGGTGGCTGGCGGGCGGATGATGGCGCTGGGTGCTGCGTGCGTGACACGGACACGTTTCCCCATTTTAACAATAACATCCACTATAGAAAAACCGAGAACGTTCCAGAAAGCAAAGAGAAAAAAACTTTTTACTCCATTAAAAAAGAACGATCCAGAGACACCCGCTGTGAACATTTTGAGCATTTACTTCTAGAAACTCTGTGTGGTTTGTCGTTGAGTGGGGAGAGTGTCACAGACGCCGGTGAGGGGAATGTTTTCGCACCTGCATTTTGCGCTTGTGGATTTGTTTTTCCCTCGCGGTAAATTCCTGCAGGAGGAACCGCTGAAATGAGAACAAGAGCCGGGGGGTGGCGGGTCCGTGGGGTTCGGCGCCGCGTCCCGGGTGGGGCCGGGGCGGCCACCGCGCCCGTCTGACGCCGCCGTCTCTCGCAGGTTGGCGCGGATCCTCGTCCGCCTGCCGGCGCTGCGGCTGATGAGCTCGAGCATCACGGAGGAGCTGTTCTTCACCGGCCTCATCGGCAACGTGTCCATAGACAGCATCATTCCCTACATCCTCAAGATGGAGACGGCGGAGTACAACGGCCAGATCACCGGCGCCAGCCTATAGTGCGCCGCGCCCGCCGGAGCCGTCGCACGCGGAGAACGGCGGCGGCGGTGTCCGGCGTGCGCAGGGCTCTGCGGTATGTTCGCCGTCCCCTGCCCGGTTTCTCCTCGCCCGTCACTCCCCAGACCACAGCCGCGAAGGCGAGCGGGACCCCCTCCCGCCAGGAGAGGGGTTCTCACGCCTGTGGATGAAGCAGCAGATTTTGGAACAGTCTTTTAACTCCATTTGTACGTAGAAATTCTCAAAGGGCAAAAAACGAAATGAGGTTTTATAATGTCAGAGACTAGTATTAAAGGAAACTAGAGGACAGTACGTGTGTACATATGTGAGACGTCCTAGCAACGCCAGGGCAGCAGCGCCAGCACTTTCCGAGCACTTCCACCGACGCGCGATGTCGGCGACGCCTGCCCGTGGGCGGGGCCAGTGGGAAGTTGTGTGTGTCTTTTGCCGAAATGCTAATGAATTCTGTGACAGCTCGCCAGGGTACGGTAGACAATCATTTGTTTATAAAGAGAAGGCGTCATTCCTGACCGTATGCTCGTGTGGTTGGTGTCGCGCGAATCCCTGCGGGTGGAAGCGTGGCTTTTTCGCATCGCGCGGTGAGTGGGAGTCGGTGGCACAACCGTGGGGACCAAACCAGAAGCTTCCAGCCGTGGCACTGACGCGCGCCAGGTCCCCGACCGCTCCGTCCTGGTCTGTGAAGGGCATCTGCAGACTCTTCTAGAACGTGGGGTTCTCCTCCAATGGCGGTTTTCAGAATTGGGTTGCGACTAGTCGGGCGTTAACTGCCAGAGGAGATGTGAAATTCCTCTAGCGACCAAGAACGTCCCCTGATCGCCTGCACCGCGCGTGGCGCAGGGAGCCCTCCGACCACGGCGTGCACGGCGGGCGTTTGAAGCCTCGACAGCGCTTGTTACGGGTTGGGTGGTCGCGTGTGGTCCGCGTGCAGGAGCGTGGTCTCCTGCAGTGTGAGGTCCCCTCCCCGGAGTTCAGCCCACACAGCCCTCGGGAAGGGCCGGGTCTCCGCAGGGCTCGGAGCTGGAGGGGCTGGTCTGGGGCTGTCGCAGGGTCTTGCTGTCCTGGCCAGGGCCTGGTGAAGCGGAGGAAGGTTTCAGGACAGTTTTCTCCTACTTACCTTCAGCGTCAGGGATGTTCAAGGTGTCTCCAGACGCGTCATCTCTGCCAGCAAGTCTTTCGACGTCACTGGCACGCTGTGTGCTCCGGGTCCCCAGGCACGTGCTCCGGGCCACCCTGAGGCATCTTCGTGGCGGGGCAGCAGGTCCCTGCTCCTCGCAAGACAGCCCTTGGCCCCGAGGTGGCGTCTTCCTCCTCATGAATCGCAGCAGAGTTTGCGAGAGCAGGACACGTTCGTGAGGAAGTCACGTCTGGCCAGAGCCCCGCGAGTCCCCGTGGCTGTGAGTGGGCAGCGAGCTCTGCGTGTCCGGGGGCGGTGGCCGGAGGAGGGCCGGGCCACCTGCTCTGTGTTTTCGTGTAGCCCGCGCTGAAGTACACCTGTGAGGTTAGAGTCGTCCGCTGAGCCCGTGGGTCAGGTGACATCTGATCCCCCTCCCGCCCGCGGCCCCGCGTGGACGGGCTCGGGCAGAACCAGGCGCTCTGTCCTCGAGCGGCAACAGCACTTTGTCGGCCACCGTCGGTGGGAACTAAGTTGGGGCAGAACCTCCAAGTTCCGCATTCCCGTTTGGGCCGAATCGTGTCATCTGCAGTTGTTGGCAGCACGTTCTGGAGAGCGGCCATCGTAATCGGGGGAGAGGATTTAAATTTGCCAGTTTAAGAATGAATTTCTAGTGTTCTAACGCGGAAGCGTCTGCAGTTTCAAGACGAAGACACGAAGCTCGACGGCGCGACGGGGTGACTCGGATCCGCTTCCTCTGCTCGCGCGGGCCCTTCGCGGTGGGCGTCCTGGAGGACACCGCGCCCCGACTCGGTCGCCCGCTCCCGTCCCGTCGATGCCCCAGCGTGAGCTGCCGACCGCGTCTCCGCGTCCGGATCCCGGCGCCCAGGTCCCCGCCCGCCCTCCCTCGTGCCCGGCCGGTCGCGCTGGGTCAGACGGGGAAGGACCGAGCCCGGTGAGGCCGCCCCGGAGGAGGGTGGTCTGGAGGGTTGCGGACCCCAACCTCGTCCTGCGCCTCGAGCCCCCCTGGCGACGGCTGGTCCCGAGACGGTCCTCGTTGCTTTCCCAGGCCCTCCGCCCTCCCTTCCGGTGGCCTTTGACCCGGATTCTCGGGTCCCGACTCACGCTAAGCCTCTGGCTGCAGGTCCACGTCACCTCTCGTCGGGGCGGTCGAGCGTCGTCGGTGAGCGTGAGACTCCGGGTTCGGGCATCGAGCCCGGCCACGCCTCCCTCCGCGAGGACAGACACACGGGCCGGGGAGGTGGGACAGACACACGCCGTCACGTCATGGTCAAGGGGGCTCTTTTCCAGAAGCATCTCAATAGCGCTGGACTGAGACGGACGTGGTCGAAACGTGTGGAGAGCGTCACGTGTGGCGTGAGTCGGGACAGGGAGAGACTGAGACGGAGTCCCCGAGGCAAACGATACTCAAGTTCTCCTGGAAGGTGTTTTGAGGAGGCGTCGAACCTTCCAGCTGGACACTGAGTGGGGACAGGGCCACGTTGCTTACTTCTGACCCTTGCCGTGAGGCTGTGGCTCCCGTGTCTTTCGTTCTGGGTTTTACCTTTAACTTCAGGTGTGGTCGCTTGTAAGACGTTGCACGCCTGCCCCCAAGAAGAGCTGTGTTTTAGTTTCCCAGTGTCAGTGTTACACGTGGACTTTTTCCTGGGACCGTCGGGCCACCGGCCACAGCGGGGACAGTGGACACTTTTGGGCTCTGTGGTGCAGCGGCAGCAGCACCGTTTAGCCCACGCCGCACACGCATGGCCGTTTGGTGGCCGCGGCAGGGGCCAAGGGTCGCAGACACCAGCTGCGCCCAGCGCTTTGCGTCCCGACCCTCCGGGGCGTCTGCCACAGAGTGACGGGCCGTTCCCGGGCTGTGGGTGGGCGGCTCACGCCCGGTGTCCTGGGATCCACCTTCCGTGGCCTGATCTTGTCGGAGCCCAGAAGCTTCTTGCGCTCTGCCCGGTGCAGCGGCTCCGCGTGCGATGGGCTCACAGACGACCTCTCGGCTCTTCTCTGGTCTCAGCTGTGAAACACGGAGGATGTCGCCGTCCGACTCCGCGTTTTCCCAGGGAGCGCGGCGCCCTGTGGCTCTCGGGCCGTCACGACTGTCCCGGCGGATGCCCGCGAGCTCCCCTGCGCGGTCCCCACGCTCTTGCTCTTGGCTTCGGGGTCACGTTTCAGGGCGACCCCTGACCGGGACGGGTGGGTTTGGGTCTCGGGCACCAGGTCCGGCCCTGCCGAGTGCCGCCCGCCCACTGCGCCACGCGAGTGCAGACCTAGGGACCGTGTGACTGACTGTGTGTTCGTATCTGCTGTGTGTACAGTGTATATAGCGTGTGCGTGTACATACGTGTACATTACGTGTACAGACATGTAGCCGACCCTTCCTGCTGTTTGAAGAGTTTTGATGATTTGCCGGCGTGAGCCGGCGTGGGCGCTGCAGGGCCGCTCGGCAGGGACACTTGCCGGCGACTCTCTCAACTGCACTTTCCTCTGGACGAGCTCCCTGGGGCAGCCCAGAGCCGGGGTCCGTGACGGTGACGTGTCCGTCCTCCGGGGCAGACGCGGGCCGGGAAGCTGGCGGACAGGTCACCCCCGTGTGCAAAACTAGGCGGGACTTTCTAACCCGCCCTCACGCACCTGTTCACGCCGGACGGGAGGGAACTCGTGGCTGGTTGGAGCGATCGGCCACCCCCGTGTGCAGAGCTCTGTCCCTCGGTCCCCAGGCAGGCCTGGTCGCAGAACGGTCCGCGTCAGGGGCCTGGCTCCCGGGCGGCGGCAGTTCTTGCGCCCGCGCCGAGCTGGGTCCGCGGTGTCTGGGGCGCCGACCCGTCACTAGCCAGACAGGACGGCCCGTCCAGCACCGGCGAGAAATCGGCCGCTGCCGAGTATTCTTTCGAGAGAAGCGTGGACGCAGGTGGCCGACGCGCGTGGCGTGTGAGCCGCGATCTCGTTAACTGAGCGCGCGGACGAATCCGCTGACTCAGCTCCTTCCTGTAAATCACGATTCGAAACTTTCAGATAGAAATTGCATTTTAATAAGGATGTGTCCCCCTCAGAGAGCTACAGAGGCCAAATTTCCACCGCAATCGGGCTTAGACCCAGACGCCGTGCCCGGAAGGCAGGGCCACGCGGCAGGACGCGGACGGCCGCCCGCCGGGAGGACCGCGGGTAGCCGCAGGGACCCGCCCGAGCCACCGGTTGCTGTTTTTCATTTCAAACAAGCTGCCGCGACGTCTAAGAAACGCTCACGAGCCCACAGTCCTCAGTGCCTTCTGTGAGACCGCGGGTCCTGCAGCCGGCGGCTTCCCGCCTCCGCGCAGAGAAGCTTCTGCGCCTTCGCTGGCCTCAACGCGACCGCTCGTCCCCCGGCAGCGGCCGTCGTGACAATCAGAGCTGAACGCGGGTTTCTAGCTAAGACGCAGACGGAAGCCTGGCAGTCTCTAAAGGAGTCTTTAGAAGAAGTTTTCCTTTGGGTCCGTTGGTCTAAAAACAGACTGTGAGCTTAACGAAGAGTGCACAGCACCTGGCTGGAGCTGGGGACAGAAACGTCACACGCGCCCGACGCCCAGCTGAAGTTAGGAAGCCAGTAGATTTGGTGTCTCCAAGTTTATACGCACAGCGTAGAAGAAACGTCCAGCGTCTCTGGATTGGCCGTTAAATGTTTGAGTGACATTTGGAAACAGCAGACTCGCAGCACGATGGCTTCTCTTTAGGAAAGTGTCATCGTCATCTTAGCGGCCGTGGCCTTCGTGGACTCAAACGCTGCCGCCACGTATGACCTGAGGGCTGGGACGTTTTTCCGTGGTCTCCCCGTCCCACCGCTTGCCGTGTAGACCGGTGTTGAACCAGTTTTATAGCTGAAAAGCTGCACTTTTTTCATGGTACAAACCGTAGACTTGCCTGTTGTCCGCACCTGTCAGAGGTTGGCCTTTTTCAAAGGACAGTTTGGGTGTTCGATTTTCTCGGGGCCGTTTCTGTAACCGCCGCCCTCCGCGGTATAGAAAATACTGGTTTTGCCCTTTCGTCCGAATTCCAGGTCTAAACCTGCTGAGAGCTGTAGCTTCACGCGGCTTTCCGCCCCCGGGAAGTCGCTTTCTTTCTGGGATGGCGTTTGAGACACAGCATGTTCTTTTCACCCGCACTTTGTACCTGGCCGGTGTCCCCGGTCCTGAGCGGCACCCGCGTCGTGGTGTCTGTACGGAGCGCGCAGTGCATGAGTTAGCGCCACGCATCTCGTTAAACGCTGTTCCGATGTCGCGTTGTTGTTGTGGCTCCATCCTGCTGCCTGGACGAGGTCTATGCCATTAAAAGTGAGTTAAAGACCAACGTGGACCCTGCTCCTCATTCCTCTTCGCGACCCTGGTCCCCCGACGCCCTGCAGCGGTTCCCGCGAGCCCGGCGGCCGCGTCTCCACAGCTCCCTGCCCCGGCCCTGGCGGCCGCGGTGATTGAGGCCTTCGCGGCCCGTGGCTTCCAGTGTCTCTGGCGGAAAGTCCTGGCGGGACGGAGGACACCGCCCCGTGGGACGTCTGCTTCTCCCTGGGTGGCGGGGAGCAGGTCGCACGCACCACGGCTGGGCTCAGACGCCGCCGCGGGCGGGGGTGGGGTCGGCCTCTCCCGCAGCCGCGTCCTGCGAGGCGTTCGCCGTCCAGGGTGACCTCGCTCTCGCGGGCTCGGACGTCGGGACGCGCACCGTGGGGCCACCGTTCCCCAGCTGAGGGCTCGCGGCGGCCGCAGCGCCAGCCACAAAGCTCCGAGGGGACGGCGCCGCCGGGCGGTGCTCAGACCCGACAGCGGCCGCTTGGGAGCAGCAAGAACGAGGCGCGTCGGTCGCGAAACCCCCGCGGGAGCTTCTCGAGGGTCCTCCCGTCTGCGCCTTCGCGACCCGCCTTCCATGTCCACTGAACAGCAGGAAACACAGAGGCGGACAGATGGCGCCTCCGGGCGGTGTTGACTCTTCCTGTGGACTCCTCGACCTGCTGGTGACAGCGCCCGGTGACGACAGGGGTCACCGTCTGCCCCGCACACGCCCCGCGGCCTCTCGGTGACCCTCGCGGGCAGAGTCTGGGCCCGTCGCGCCTGAGCTCGAGCCGGCTCTCCTGCCCCGTCGGGCCCCGGACACTCGCACTCTCGGAAGGGGTCGCGGCTCCGGCCCGGGTGACCCTGCTGCCGCTGAGCGGGCTCCTGAGACCGCGGACGGAGGGACACCTTCCGCGTCACCGGCTGCGGAGACCCAGACTGGGGGGTGAAGACCCAAGGAGCCAAGCGCTCTCCCAAGAGCCGGTCGGCCGGCGTCGCGGTCGGGACTTCGGTCTGCCGAGCGGGGGCGGAAGCCAGCACCACGGCGCGACTCCAGCCGAGGACGGCTCCCCGCCGGCCCGCCAGGATGGGGACTCGGCGCCCAGCTCCAACTCCGCACCCCTCAGTGAGCCTCTGTCACTTGTCACGGATCAGACGCGACACAGCCCCTTCCCCTCCCGACACCCCACGGCCGTCCCCGAGCACAGGCCTGGTCACCGCGAACTGGAGCATCAGATGTGAGAGGATTAGACTCGCCCAGCGGAACGTGACGCCCTGCGGCCGCCACACAGAGCGCGTCACAGCTTCAGCGTGACACGAGCTGCCTCTGCTCCCGTCTCACAGGTGAACAAACCGAGGTGGGCCCCAGGGGCTCTAGGCCCAGCCACGGCCCCGGGGGAGGAATGAAGACGTCGGCCCTGCGCCTCCAAGCGCCGCCATCCCTTCTTGATCCTTCCACCCACCGTCCTCCTGCGCCCCGTACGGTCCCGGCTCCTCGGCCGGCTTTGCAGGGTCTGGTCCAGCCGCTCCTTCGCTTTTTTGTTTTGAGACAGAGTCTCACTCTGTCGCCCGGGCTAGAGTGCCGTGGGGTCAGCCTCGCTCACAGCAACCTCCAACTCCTGGGCTCAAGCGATCCTCCTGCCTCAGCCTCCCGAGTAGCTGGGACTACAGGCATGTGCCACCATGCCTGGCTAATTTTTTTCTATATATTTTTAGCTGTCAAATTAATTTCTTTCTATTTTTGGTAGAGACGGGGTCTTGCTCTTGCTCAGGCTGGTCTCGAACTCCTGACCTCGACCGATCCTCCCACCTCGGCCTCCCAGAGTGCTGGGATGACAGGCGTGAGCCGCCGCGCCCAGCCCGTCCTTCGCTTTTGGCTGATTAAACCTGCTCTCGAGGCAGCCCCAGCGGGTGCTACTTCTGGGAGCTGAAACCGGCTGAGCACACGGGAAGAACCGCTGGGAAGACGCTCGGTAATAAACGCATCTGCCTCTTGCGAACCTCAGCGGAGCCCGGCGTCTCCACTGCGTGGCGCCTTCTCTCCTCCGCAAACCTCCCTGCCGAGAGCAGTGACAGCAGTGGGGCCCCGGCCTAAGTGCCGCTGGTCTGCGGCCCCCCAGGAGCAAACACGGCGAGTCCCAGGGTAGAAGGTGAGCTCTGCCGAGCTGCCTTTGACTTTGTGAACGACACCCGAAGGACCCGCACGGAGGGCCGTCTACACTGCCCGCCCAAGACAGCTCCAGCCACCCTCAGCCACGGCAGCCCTCGCGTTCTCCAGAGCTGGGTCTGCAGGAAGATTCCGGCCCAGGGGGGACCAGGGCAGGGTCGCAGGACCGAGCCGTGCCTCACCCTCCCCAGCCTCTTGCCTGCAGGACCCGACACACGCCGCGTTGCTGGAGTGACTATGAAGCGTTTCACGTCCCAGCACCCGGATCTAAGAGGGGAAAAAAGAGAGAAAATAAAAACCGAAACCACACGAAGCGCTTTACTGGGCGACAGTGCAGAGATCTCTCAGCTCAGCGAGGGCGACCCCCCACGTCCTTCCACTCGAGTGTGTACAGGGGACCGTTTCTCGTACAGGGACGTCCGGAGTCTCTCTGGGGACACCATCGGGCTTCCTGGCGCCACAGCGATCCCCTCCCAGTGTCCCCACCGGTCAGACCCGCCCGGCCCGGCCCGGCCCGGCGTCGGGGCTCAGTCCTGGGCGGCGGCTCGCAGGGTGGCTCTGTGCTTCCCGGTCATGTCCCGGGGCAGCGGCACCAGGCCGGGGCAGGGCACCTGGCCCTCCACCTGGCACATGCACTCGCGCAGGCAGTACTTGCGCGGCCCGAAGTTGGCCGGGTGGGCCAGCTGCTGCTTCTGCCGCTCCTCCTTCCTCAGGGCGTCCCTGCCGGAGAGCACAGGCGGCGGCGCAGCGTCAGGAGCTCGGCTCGGCCCGGGGAGACCCGGGGCTGCTGCCTGCGAACCCGCCCTCCGCGCCGGGACCGCGAGGACAGGCCACGCGAGCAGGCCAGGGGCACGGCGGCCTCCCCGCAGCCCTGGCGGGCAGAACCTGGGGACCGAGGGGCCGGGAAAGGCCTCTGGTTTCTCAGGAACGGACTCTGCCCTCCCCTCCCGCCTCCCGTCACTCGCGGGAAGAAAAGGGACGTGTCCCAGGGCCGGACACCCGCTAGCTCCAGCCTGAGGCTCCCAGGGGAGGCGCGGGCCGCACACGGGGCAGCGTCCTCGCTGCTCAGGGCTCGGCGTGGTCTCTCCCGACACGGCCCCGCGCGCCCCCCTTCTCCCCCCTCGAAACCTCGGGGCTGGGAGCCCGGCCCCCGGCGCCGGCCCCGCGACTCACTCGCTCTTGCCCAGGATCTTCCTGATGTGCTGCACGATCTCCGCGTTGCTCTTGGTCTCCACGTCCACCAGCACCTGCTCCCCGGAGTCTGCAAGCGGGAGACGCCGCGCTGAGCAGGGGCCGAGGCTCAGAGCGCGCGGCCTCCGCGGGCTGAGGTCGGGGACGCGCTTTTGGAGGCAGAGACGTTTCGACAGTAAAGCGCACGTATTTGTTACGTAGCCTTCGACCCTGCCTGTTTCCGTGTTTCTTCAGACACGGACTTTACATACATACAAAAGGACCTTGGTTTTTTTTGTTTGTTTTTGAGACAGAGTCTGGCTCTGTCGCCCGGGCTAGAGTGAGTGCCGTGGCGTCAGCCTCGCTCACAGCAACCTCCAACTCCTGGGCTCGAGCGATCCTCCTGCCTCAGCCTCCCGAGTAGCTGGGACTACAGGCGTGCGCCACCATGCCCGGCTAATTTTTTCTATGTATTTTTAGTTGTCTGGCTAATTTCTTTCTATTTTTAGTAGAGACGGGGTCTCGCTCTTGCTCAGGCTGGTCTCGAACTCCTGACCTCGAGCGATCCTCCTTCCTCGGCCTCCCAGAGTGCTGGGACTACAGGCGTGAGCCACCGCGCCCGGCCAGGACGCTGATGTTATGGAAAGACGTTCCATGTTCACGGACAGACTCGATCTTGGTGAGACGCCAGTTCTCCCCACACTGCTCTACAGATCGAGTCCCATCCCCATCCAAATCCCAGCAGGCATTTCTGTAGAAACTGACAAGTGGAGCCTGAAATTGACACATAAATGCTAAGGACCCAAAATAGCTGCACAATTTTGAAAAATGAGAGTAGAGGAGAATGTTCACTTTCCAATTCCGGATTCACCATACACCGAAATGACCGTGATGGAGACAGAGCGGCACCAACGCGAGAACAGACGCAGAGCAGACGCGAACTCCTATCGGAGTTCGGCCAACCGATTTCCAGCAAAGATGCCGAGATAATTCGATGAAGACGGACTTTGCGATAAATGACGCCGGACAGCTGGCTGCCCACAGGCAAACGCATCAATTTGGACCTTTACTGCAGAGCATAAAAAACAAAACCTCCAAATGGATCAGAGGCCGAAATGTAAGAGCTAAAACTTTCAGAAGACTTCTAGAAGAGAACATAGGAGGAAATCTTCATGACCTTACCCAGGCAGAAATTTTTTTGATATGACATTAAAAACATGATCCATTTGAAAGAAAAAAAATCAATAAACTGAACTTGATCAAAATTCAAAATTTTGCCATTTAAAAGACATGATAAGCCACAGGCTGGGAGAAAATATCTATGATGGATATATCTAATAAAGGACTAATATTCAGAATATATAAAGAACTCTCAAACTCAATAAGATGAACAATCCAATTAAAAAATGGGCCAAATATCTGAGTAAACATGTAATAAAAAAAAATTACAATGGCTAATAATAAGCACATGGAAAGATGTTCAACATTACTCATTAGGAAAATGCAAATTAAAAGCACAATAGGATATTAGAGTGGCTTTTTTTTTTTTTTGAGACAAGGTCTTGCTCTCTCCCCCAGGCTAGTGTACACTGGAATCACCATGGCTCACTGCAGCCTCGAACTCCTAGGCTCAAGCGATCCTCCCGCCTCGGCCTCCCAAAGTGCTGGGATTATAGGCATGAGCCACCGCACCCAGCCTAGAGTGGCTAAATTTTTTTTTTCTTTTGAGACAGAGTCTTGTTTTGTCACCTGGGCTGGAGTGCAGTAGCGTCATCATAGCTCACTGCAACCTCGAACTCCTGGCCCCAGCTGTGATCCTCCCGCCTCGGCCTCCAAAAGTGCTAGGACCACAGGCATGAGCCACTGTGCCCGGCCCAAAATTTTAAAAAATGGTCAATGTCAGGTAGTAGTTGAGGACACAGAATAGCTGGAACCGTGACACCCCGCTGGCAGAAATGCAAACCTGCGCTTCACTCAGTTCTCCGAACCGTGTAAGGCTGGTGTCTGGCCCTCGCTGGAGAAACACGGAAACGGATGTCACTTGTTCAGGGACAGAGTTACTGAGAGAGCGGGGCCAGGACACCTGGTGTCCTGATTTGGCAGCACAGAGCCCAAGCCGGCGTCGCTGAGCGCCTGGCCCGGATGCGGACAGCAGTGTGTGCGTGATTCACAGCGGATACACACGGCGCCAAAGCTTCAGGAGAGAACGTGGTGAGCGCCGAGAGAAAGAGGCTTTGAGGACTAGAGAAGATTCCTACGGTGAGTGGCACCCAAGCTGCGTCCCGAAGGATTTTTTTTCATCCAACAAGCAAAGATGGGCTGAGAATGGTGGCTCTCGCCTGTAATCCCAGCACTCTGGGAGGCCGAGGCGGGAGGATCGCTCGAGGTCAGGGGTTCAAGACCAGCCAGAGCAAGAGCGAGACCCCATCTCTACTAAAAATAGAAAGAAATTAGCCGGACAACTAAAAGCAGAAAAAAATTAGCCGGGCATGGTGGCGCATGCTTGTAGTCCCAGCCACTAGGGAGGCTGAGGCAGGAGGATCGCTTGAGCCCAGGAGTTGGAGGCTGCTGTGAGCGAGGCTGACGCCACGGCACTCACTCTAGCCCGGGCAACAGAGCCAGACTCTGTCTCAAAAAAAAAAAAGGCAGGTAGGGACCGGCAGGAGCTAAGGCGTCCCAGCGTGGCGAGGGAATTTGGGAACATCAGCACACGTGCCGTGAGGCAGGGGACAAGCGGAGATGAGGCCAGGGAGGCAGGGAGAAAGACTGCAGGTCTCGGTGGCCACGTGCGCCACGGCTTTGGGGAGCCCACGGGGTGAGTGACAGAAACGCCGCAAAGCCCGAG